TCGTGCGTGCCCAATCGCACGAAATACCCCAAATCTACCCTCTCGCGTCCTTCACGCGCAGCCGCAACAATAGCCGCCTCACGAATGGCAACCTTTGGTTCAAGAATCCACTTTCCAACTCCTCATCAGGTCATGCGGGACATGATGCAGATATCGAGCAGCCTGAACAAGTATACGTATTCCGTCTGGCACCCGCCACCCCTGCCCTAGTTATTACGCCTGTTCCTTCACCACTGCACATTTCTTCGCCTTCCACCTCGACGCTTCCTGTATCCAGGCCACCAGCGAACCCCACGGGGGCAACCCGTACAAATTCTACTCAAACACAACAGCCCTATCCGTTATGCACATCCAATTACTGTCTCCTGCGCCTCCGAAGTACGTGTTCCCTGTGGGCTTTCGTCCGCACATGCGTCATCGAGCGTATATGGGAGGAGGAACCTGTTATACCCGATAAGAAGCCCGTGATTTCGGTTGCGAATGGGACAGAAAATACCCAAGAGTCTAGTAAAAAGAACTCTTCTCCGGCTGCGAGTGGATCTGCGATCCCTGCAGGTGAGAAGCCGCCTGTGCCTCCCCGGCGTAGGCGGCTTTGGGAGATGGCGAGTGCGTTGGGGGAGAGGGCTGTTAGCTGGACTGAAAATTCCAAGGACAAGGATAAAGAGAAAGAAAAAGATAAGGAAAAGGAAAAGGAAAAAGACAAGGAGAAGGAGAAGGACGAGGAAAGGGATAAGAAACCTGCGAGGAAACCTCCGCCACCACCACCGCCACCTGCCCAAGCACCCCCTCCCCTGCCCAGAAGGAGCGAAGGGCGTGGCCATTCAATCGACACTCCCGCTGCCTTTTCAAATGATACTGACAAAAAAGCCGGTTCTGAAGCTGGGACGTCCGGTTCTCAGGAATCATTCACCACTCCCGTTGACGAAATGTCCTTTACTCGCCCGTTTTCCTCAGATCTGTCTTCTCCACAAACAATAATACAGCCGCAGGTCCCGGTTTTACAACCAGAACGCCCTCCCTCCCCACACACCATCCCCCTGCCAGATACACCTACGTCACCTGCATTCCGTGCCGCATCGCCACCTTCGCGGCCACGTTCTCGTGTGGCCTCTCCAGCGCCCTTGCCTTCACGTGTCTCTTCGCCGATACCTCATCGCGCCAGTACACCTATTGCTCTGAGTCGATCGAGAGCCGGCTCACCAGCTCCCCCACGCACGGGCTCTCCGTTCTCGTCCTCTAGGGCCGCTTCACCTGTACCGAATAGTGCTCCACCCGTCCCCAGGCGAGCTCCCGCACGAAGGGCAGTTCCTGTACCGCCCGCTGCCTCACAGACCGAAACAAAGGAAGGAATTCCGATGCCTTCGGCTGAAGTCAGCAAAGATGAGGTCCCATCGAAAGTCGATGTGTCTGTTTCTGAGAAGGAAGAACACAAACCGTCTTCTCCCCGTGAACAGAAAGCCGTGGCTGGCGAGGACGTTGTAGAACTCTCCACGACCAAGCATAACATCACGGAAACCCCCAACCCCTTAAATGATGCGAATACGAACGGATATCCGTATCCTGAAAAGCGAGCGTCCGTGGATGTTTCTCCCCCCACCACGCAAGCCACTATTGTCAACCCATCCTCTGAAGCTAGCCAAACCAGACGTGCATCTGAGGATTCCAGCACACACGGGAAATCTATCGACACAAGTAGTACGAAGCGTTCTTCTACTACCGACGAGGAAGGCTACGCTGGTGACGCGACATGGGAGGATCGTACGTGGAAAGAAATCGTACGTTTGAAGGAAGACATGTTCTGGGCGCGCGTTGGGGGCGTGCGGTAGAGCTCAAATCATTTATAAGTAGGATAGTGTGCCCGCTCCCACTACTCATCTATTTTATGGTAGAATAGATTTTGTATATCCACATGTGCAATTATCTGGACTTGTTGTCGAATTTAGGATGGACTAGCTTGGACTACATCTCTCTACAGTTCTCACGGCTACAAATATCAAGGACTCCTCAATAATTTTACTGATGATAGACTGATTTGTACATGCACTTACATGCAACGGTGTTGGACTTCAAGCTTCAAGAGGGAAGGTAGCACGACCTGAGTCTCCTCCCGCTGGCACGCAGACAAACAGACAAACCACGATTCGCTCGTACAGAAGTTGCATTCCACAGGCTAATGCTTATACTCGATAGCACAGCTAAGCAAAGTTACCGGGTCCAACATTCATTCGTCTAAAACCGTCCACAGCTGCGCATCAGTGGGGTCCCCCACCTGGTACTTGAGGATGATCTGCAAATGCACAGTGTCAGCAACAGTATGGTACGACAATCAATGAACTTTATCACCGAAAGATCAGCTTCCATGTGCAGGGTATAGAAACCCTCAGTGGACCCGGGCTTGTTGGGGACCCGGAATCTACATCACTCATCTACATCAGTAGATAGGTTTGATCAACGCTCTGATACCCACGCCATTTTGCCTTGTGTGGTGAACAGGTTCCACCAGTACTCCCTGTCGGACGTGCCGGCCATCATGTCATCCTGCAAATTTGTGAGATTCGCATCAGAACCGCTTCTCGCAAAGACTTACGTCCCATGCCAGGTAAGTGTCCGCAGCGGCATTGTTCTTGACCGCCATCAGATGCGTTTGTGTCGGTTCGTCCCATCTATATATCCCGGTCCACTGATGATATCACTCGCCAGAGCCAAGGCCGGAACTTTATCCCTAGCTACCTACTGACCTCATCACCGCCGTCGTCGACCGTCAAAGGCACGTCATAGTACTTCACGTTTGTCACACGACCACAGAACCCCGACATGGTCGGATTCGTTGTTGATAAGGAGTAGGAAAAGGCGAGAGTGAGTTGGGCTTCAGTCCTGACGTCGTAACATCATTTATGTATTCTCAGGCAGGCTTAGCATTATGCTGTCCCGAGCATCACACATGCCCCTGAATGGTGTTAAGTAATTCAATGCTGGCACTTCCATTGCGAAAGGAGCCGTTACTCGCGTTCGCTTGCAAGAAACGTTTGTCTTTGTCTATAGGACGAGATCGTTAGCAGTGACTATGCCTAAACGAGTTCGTGCATTGATCAAAGCTTTCTGACATGTGATGTGACTCCTTTTGCCATGGGTGTACTAGATCGATACGATAATAACCCAACTGCCAATCCGAGTCTCGAAAGGTCCTATTACGCCATTGTACGACTCTTTGTAGGCTAAGTCCCAGCTGGGGTCAGGGCGTAGTAGTCTGCCAAAAAAACAGACGAGGAATGATTGATAACTTCGTTTGTAATACCAGAGTAAAGCAGTGACCAACTTACTTTCGTTGCGCTAATCACAATGCACTTCAGCCCACAGTATTCATGAAATATGTAGCCACTGCCGAAAATTCAATAGAAACACGCTCTTAACCGAGGAATGGTACCTAACTGCTTTGGTAATGATAATGAAAGTGCCAAGATCAGGTAGATTCACTGACAAACATTCTTCAGGTTGGCAGGCGGAAACGAACATCAATGATCGACAGCTCCTTTTGCGATGAACGTTAGAGTGGTGATCACGAGGCAACGAGTTGCAATTACAGGGTTGCATAATTCAGGAGCGTATGTGGTGCCCGGGACAACAGAATGCCGAGCCCGTGACCACGAAGAATCCGCATATATATAGATGTTACGATCAGGTTAGACCAACTCACTTCTCGTGTTCCCCTCCTTGCCTGCCCAATAACGAATCTCAATTATCATTTCCATCAACGGTGTTCTTTGTTGACTCAAGGTGGCGCAAAGGTCGAAGGCGCATGCTTTGGCCAGACCGACAATCAGAGGGTCGGTAGGTAGCTACTAGAGATGAGGTTCCAACCCTGGCGCTGACGAACGTAATCAATAGTGGATTGGATGAACTAGATGGAACAACGAGATCAATGCATGGCATCAGGAAAAGCCTCCTCTGGCCAGGCTAATTAGAGATAAGCCCGGACACCCCAATGCTCGAATCTGACTCGAAGGCTGGTGGCAAAGTTGTTCAGAGACGAGAATCAATTGGTATGGCCAAGATGAGCACCACTGCATCTCGATAGAGCTCGATGGCCTCATTGATTCCAGGTCAGCTAGGACGCCACGCTGCTCGAATCTGACCTGAAGGGTGATGGCAAGGTTGTTGAGAGACGAGAATTCACCAAAACGGCCTGGGAACAGAGTACCGATGCAGCCCGATGGAACCGAATGGCCTCATCCGGGTCAGCTAAAAGACCCAGCTACTTGGCTCGAAGGTTAATGCCAAGGTTATTCAGGGACGAGGACCGGTCAGGATGGTCAGGGGATAGAGCGCAGGGGCACCCTGATGGTGTTCGATGACCTCGTTCACATTAAATCCGATCGGATACTTCGCGAACGGTTATGTGCCTTTGTTCCTGAGCAATTCAATGAGCTTTTGTCTACACCGGAGCATCGGTGAACCAACCAACCTTTCAGCACGTCCCTTACGCGTCCACACGTGTTCAATAAGAATCTAGCCTCTTCAGACGCTTGTTCGGAACTAGGAATGAATGGAGGCTACAGATTCTCATCATGAATGTTAGCTCAAAGGGGAGTGGTGGAGCAGACATACCGAAGTATTGACAAATTCTTAACAATGTAGAAATCTTGTCAGTATCTAGATAAGCCGTGTTATTCAGTCCAAACCAACCAGTATTATTTTTGAATTAGAACACCAACCCGCTGGAGATCACTGCGTTAACTTGCTGTATCAAATCAATGCGCATTAAGCTGGGGATCAGGATACTTCATATCATGCAAGATTATACACCGGAAGAGGATTTGGCGAGTTGTTTCTCAACAACGAGATTTGCCAACAACATCTTCCCTACGCCCATAGCACCGGAGACGATGAAGTTCAGTGATAGTGGACAAGTGGACCTTACGGAAGCCGGAGGGGATCGGTCGACACCAGTCACACCACTGGATACGCATGCCATGACGTATCCTTTTGAGAAAATTGTGCTGAAGGGATGAGAATCATCTGAAGAGAGATGGGAGTAAAATTGAAGCATGAATAAAGAGCCTAAGGAGTGGGCTTATTGGCTAAGTTCGAGTACGGAAGACTCTTCTACTACCGACGAAGGTTGCGCTGATGACGCGACTTGTGAGGGTCGTACGTGGAGTATACGTCTGGAGGAAGACATGTTCTGGACACGCATTGGAGGCGTGTGGTCACTACTAGAACTTGAATGGTTTGTAAGCAGGCGAGCTCAGGATGGCCAGCCCGCTGCCGCAGTGCTGCTGCTCAAGCGTTCACGGTAGGTTAGATTTTGTACACTCGTATGTCCACTGTGCAGATGCGCCGCCGTTGGTATGGCCATGGTTGGACATCGACTTCAAGTTGTCGGATTTAGGGTGGTCTAGCTTGGACTACATTTCATCATGAGCTGTCGACATGTCATATGCATGACGCTTGAATACATATTTATGCTATAATCGCACATCGCCGCCCCATGGGATCTTGTCCTTCAGAGATCTGCCAGTTAATTAAAAGGATAATCTCGGCAGGGAGCAAATATAAGAACGGAGAACTAGACAGATTGGCAATATCCAAGCCTCGATCCTGTTAACACGTTATGTAAATGCTGCATACACTGGACAGCGAGTACTTACTGTCGATACTCTTAGGCTCGATATCAATTAGCCCACGAGTGGCAACCTCAATAGCTTAAACAGCGCACTTGGGAAGATGTAGGACCTTAGAATAGTCACGAGCTTAGTCTATCTGCCTCGAAACCTAGGTGACCTTGAAACCGCATCAAGAGATATGGCGTGTCACCGTGTCCGCAGCGGCATCCATGGCATTGCGTGTCCTCGCACCCGCAGCACGCATCATAAACAATTGAACGTTAGGAGGTCGGAGAAGTCCTGATTCGTTTTGGCGAAAAGGGGCGTCGTAGCCTGTTGAAGGAACAGACCCTGTTATCAGACTGAGGTTGTTGAGCACGAGGTTGCTGCTATCGCTATAGCGAATGTCGTAAGTAGTTGACAACAAACTTGGTTGTCTTGGTGGCAATCGGAACCCAGGAACTTATTGTATTCATTTTGCACGAATCATTGTTATTTCCTATTATTCATCACTAAACTTGGACACACCTTCTACACACGCAAGATTATACTTTGTGCCTCGCTTATAGTACTTTCTCTTGTTCCCCACTCCTCTACATTCCCTCCTTCTCCCATTTACCTCTCTAGATGCCTGAAAACGCCCAGCAGGCTCCAGCTGTGGCTCCAGCACCCTCAAAATCAAAACACGGTGCTACATCCCAAGCTCCACCCGCACCGAGGAAAGTTAGATTTAACGTCGGTGTGTCTAGATCCTTGCTCTTCATTTATCTAATTTAACAAAATATGTCTCAATAGGTACTCAGTATCAGGTTCTCGATGTCGTAGGCGAGGGTGCATATGGTATCGTCTGTTCAGCTGTTCACCGGCCCAGCGGCCGCAAGGTTGCCATCAAGAAGATCGCACCCTTCGATCATTCCATGTTCTGCTTACGGACACTCCGAGAACTAAAACTCCTCAAATTCCTCAGTGAAGCTGGCGTAAGCGAGAATGTGAGCCCGTTTGCCATTCGTCGTCTTTACGTGCTCAGTCAGAACTTTGAAGATCATTTCAATTTTGGACATCATCAAGCCTCCCTCTCTAGACGCTTTCAAAGAAGTGTATTGTGCGTACAAAATACGTCATTCAACCCACATATCACTCAAACTTTCACACAGTGATCCAGGAGCTGATGGAAACAGATATGCACCGCGTTATCCGAACGCAAGACCTCTCAGATGACCACGCTCAATATTTCATTTATCAGACCCTGCGAGCACTCAAGGCTCTACATTCTGCTGATGTCATCCACCGTGATCTTAAACCCTCAAACCTCCTTCTTAACGCAAACTGTGATCTCAAGGTCTGCGACTTTGGGCTGGCACGATCAGTAAAGACTGCCGAACCATCAGGGACGGAAACTGGGTTTATGACGGAATATGTTGCTACACGGTGGTACCGAGCTCCTGAGATCATGCTGACGTTCAAGCAATATACTAAAGCTATCGACGTCTGGTCTGTGGGGTGCATCTTGGCTGAGATGCTCTCCGGAAAGCCTCTGTTCCCCGGTAGAGATTACCACCACCAGCTCACTTTAATCTTGGATGTTCTCGGCACACCAACGCTGGACGAATTTTACGCCATTACCACACGCAGATCGCGAGATTATATTCGAGCTCTTCCTTTCCGCAAACGCCGGCCATTTGCGCAAATCTTCCCCAATGCCAATCCTTTGGCTGTAGACTTCCTGACGAAGACTCTCGTAAGTCACAATCTTCTCATCTATTCGAGTGGTAGCTCAAACCTCTCTTAGACATTGATCCCAAGAAACGCATAACAGTTGAAGAGGCTTTGGCTCACCCATATCTTGAAGCATATGTATGTGTACTTCTTATTTCTTGAGCGCACAAGCTTATATGTGATTCAGCACGATCCCGATGACGAACCAGTTGCACCACCGCTCGACCCGGAGTTCTTCGAGTTTGACCGTAAGTACTCGGGCTTAAGAAGCGTGCACGTATACTTACCCTATTCGGCAGTACACAAGGACGATATCAGCCGTGAACAGCTCAAAGAGCTCCTCTACGAAGAGATCATGTCCTTCTGTCCCGCTCCAATCACCTAAACACCACACGATCGCCAACACTCGCTGTCCATAAACCAGAGGATCCACATGTATTATTGTGCTGAGCGTCAAATTGAATTAGGGGATAGAAAATGTACGAAATATGTTCTTTGGTGCCTTCTAACTGGTAGTCGTACCGCTTTGCTGTGGACAGTACTCATTCGATGTTTTTGTGTATCTCTTCACAATCAGCAGTTCATCACACGGATTTTGTAGTTATTACATGTTTGTCGCCGTGTCACCCAATATTTGATCTATACAATCTTTTTTGGGGCTATAGGCGCCTATAGACATAGTCACTGTGTGATAGAAACAACTCAGTGCGTATGTATGAGTATGAACGGATCTATAGTATACTGCATTCATATCATATGGAAAGGGCATACCAGGGCGCTTAGTTGAGAAGTACGGGTCAGATTCCAGAATTCTGGACTGAAAGGATGAATGGAAGATCAACTCGTCACCGAACAGTTAACAGAAAAAGATCCCGCGAACATTCGGATACACACATTGTCATCGAGCAACGAATGACTTTGCCAAAGACTCCAGGACAGATAACATTACTACGAAAGATGGCTAGAGCACGGGAGTGCAATACAGAGGTAAACCGGTAATTCCTACAACTTTAAGTACAGCATAGACGAAAGAGAATAACCTGAAGAACTGTACGATATCAAAGCAATGCGGCAGAGAACTACACACCAATATGTATGAAAACCATCCTCTGATCGAGCGGCACTTTCGTCATCACGGCGTGTGTAGCATGATTGAGTGCCCAGGCTGCCTTCGTACAGTCCATCATACCACCATCCTCCAAATCTTCGAACATCTTTTCGTAGAAAGCTTCCACAATGTGTTTTACGATAGCGTCAGTAACCCCCCACAGCGTGCCAATAACGCTTTTGAACCCCGAAAATTGTAAACCAGCTGCGAGGTGAATGATCTCGTCGGGTGTCTCCTCGTCACCGACAGCGGTATGACATGCCGATAAGAAAGCGAATTCAGCCTGTGGAGAATTGTTCTCTATGATTTCAAGCAGCGTGAGGGGCTTGTCTCTCATGGCGAAACATGAATTATAAGGTTGCTCCCGGTCTTGCGTGCCATGGCAAGCGAGGTGCACCCAGGTGTTACGTCGCAAAGCTTCAAGTGCACCTGGCTGTGTAGCTTCATCGCCAGAGACATTGGTGAACTTGACACTGGGGGGAACAAGTTTATGGACAAGCTTCAGCTCTCCATTGACAGCGGGGAGCACTCCGCCTTGCCCTGCGCCGGGTTGACTTTGTCCGATCGCCGCGAAGGAGGGAGTCGCATGCATCTTCATCATCTGCCGAGCTCTAATGAGAGCTGAAAGTGTGGGCGTGTAAGAGCAGATGTAGAGATCCTCCAGGCATGGCTCTCCCCCAGAGCGATCTGTTGTCATTCGAAAGGGGTTAGCTGCATGGAGAGGGATGGATGTGAAGGCTGCCGTCGGACACAGCCATATTCGAGACTGAGGCTGCAATTTTAGGTCATTTTGGAGGACGTTAACTATGGGTAGCATGATTTCGTCCCATATTATCCGCAAGAGTGCTCGCAACTTCTTCCTCGGCACTTCTGGGCGCATACGAGCCGCGTGCCGTATTGCCGTAGTGAAATCGTCCTTGAGCGTCTCCAAATGTGTGAGAGTGATACGCGAGAATCGAACGTGGTGCGGCTCTCCTGACGTCGGGACAACGATGGCACTGCACGAGCATTGACTCGCAATGAGAATAATGACTGGGCCATGGCGTGCTGCTGCTTGCAGGTCTTCATACAAAGGCGGGAGTAGGAACCGCGAGAAACCTTTAAGATTACGTATCTCAGCTACTACTGCTCCCCATTGCTCCTGAAGTCCCCTGTAATGTATTGTTGCTCGATCAGCAACAGCTCGGTCCGCGCTGCCGACAGAACCCTGAGTATCAGACAGGCGCTTGTTGAGCTCAGAGAGCCTGTGAGCTAAATCCGGACTTGCAAGCTTCAGGTCCTCCAGCGAAGTCCTGAGCCGAGAGGCCAGCGACAACTGTTGGCCACGACCCTGCTCCACAAGTTCAACTGCTCGTTGCAGAGAATTATGACGGATGGCATGCGAAGCTGCATCTACCGGCAGTGACTGGGCGCTGCGGAAAGCGATTGCAGCCTCACGCCGTGAGATAACCGACGACCGCGTCATGACATGATTGTCGAAAAGCTCCAAGCATGTTTGGTATGCTTCGAGGGCAGACTCGTGCTGATAATTTTCAGCCGTGTGAACCCAGTGCAAAGCTGTTTCAACTCGATACGGAAAGCCTTGAGTAGAGTGTCTCGATGCCAGTCTGGAGTTCTCTACAGCGAGCGACAAATCAGCGAGGTTGTGTTGCACTCGGTAACGAGACACATAGGCATTCTTCAGCCACACGTAGCCGAAATATCTATCCGGGTGTAGTGAGGGCAAAGCCTCCAACGACTCTTGGCAGAGCCGAATGGCCTCCTCGACATCTTCATTCTTCTGAGTTTGCATGAAACGAGAACAGAGCGCCGAGCTCAAATTATAAAGAGTTTGATGGAGATGTGGATGGCCATCCTGCTTTAACTGAAGTGAATCCCGGTAGAAATCGATGGCCTCGTCGAGATCCTCGCTGGTATCCAATTTGACATATCTGGTTTTGAGCGCGAGGGCAAGGTTATTAAGCGTGATTTCACGACATGGATTCCAAGGCGGGCGCAACGTCAGTGCCTCGCGCTGGAGGCTGATGGCCCTCGCGATGTCGTTAGTATCACTGCGTTGGTCGAAACGCTTGCGGAGGGCGGTTCCTAGGCCATCCAACGAGAAATCACGATATTTGTGCCCATCAGGGCGTGGGCACTGCGCTTCTTCGTACAAAGAGATGGCCTCGTTGAGATCATCTGAGTTCCCTTGATGATCAAAGCGGCACTGGATTGAGTAGGCTAAGTTAATCAGGTAGGTCTCGCGTCTAGAATGTCCCTTGGAGCACGGAGAAACGGCTTCACGACCAAGTTGTATGCATTCGTCTATATCATCAATGCTACCGCGTTGTTGAAAGTGCGTGCTGAGAGCCCTTGAAAGTGTGTAGAGTGTTTCTCGACGATGTTTGTTGCCCAGAGGACAAAGCTCGAGTGCGGCTCGTGTAAGGTGGATGCCTTCATCAGATGCGTCTATTGGAAGATCGTTGCATGCGCGGATCACATAATCGACGCCATTTGCCCCTGCCACGATGCTATGAAGGTAGGTACCCTCTGAACAGAGGGGCAATAACTTGCAGGACAGGTGCACGCATTCCCGGATATAGACAATGGTGAAGTTCTCCTTGCTGAAGCGCCAGATCAATGCTTTAAGGAGGTGATAGATAGATAATGTATGATCGGGGTGGCCCTGCAGGCGCAACGCAAGGGCTTCGCGGAAGAGAGAAGTGATAGAATCGATGCCTTGATAATCGTCTCGAATGTAGCCTTCAAGGCGGGTCCACGCGAGGTTGGTGAGAGCCGCTGCCCGGTGAAGATGGCCGACCGGACATTGGTCCAGGACAAACTGAAAATGCTTTACAGCATCGTTCAGGTGAGAGACCGTCTTGCTTGTCATGTATGTGGCAAATCGTTCATGGCCCGCATCCGTGTCTTGAGCAATCTGGCATTCAACGATGGACTACAGCAGGTGTTCCATCAACAAAAGCCAACAACAGAGGCTGATGTCACTCACGTCAAGCAGTGCGCTGTCCTGATTGTCGCAATTATGTAGAACCGTGGCCTTCAGTGTGAGGGAAAGGTGAACACCAAGAACGGACGGAAAGGAGATGTCTATGAGATGTTGGTATATGCGCATGAGGGAGAAGGAGGTCACTCACCGAAGGGCTCATTCCCATGATCGAGCAGCGCATCCCATGACATTTCAAGTTTTCCAACAACTTCCCCATTGCCCAGCATCTGATCGAGCTCGAAGGAAGCCCTGATCTCCACCGATAACGTAGACGACGCATCTAACGATCTAGAAACAAAAGATCAGTCCTCGAGTCGCATTCGAAAGTCACAATGAACTGTACAGGGCCACGGTCTCCGCCCACGCTACAGATTCGTCTGTTGATAGGACTCCGATGGTTGATTTCCAGCGTCTCCCGGGGTCGAGATTGAGAGATATGTAAATACCTGCGGGAATGCGCTCGGAAGGGACTTTGATATTTTTGCCGCTGATGACTGTAAGTAGGTCGAGATGAGCACAAGAAACACTAAGGTGATATGGAGTGACCGACCTTCAAGCCTGATATATCGGCGTTTTGAGCTACGGGGCATGATGGTGCGATGAAACAAAGGACGAACAATACGGAGCATTGTAGATTGAATGGTGTGCAGAATGAGTGGTAGGAGAAGACAGGGAGCAGGGATATGTGAACTGCGGACGAAGATATCTCCATGTTGTTGAGGGGCGCTTGTGTAGTTGTATCAAGCGCTGAGGCGGCTAAACTATTGGCAGCATTAGCGGGGGAGCAAGGTCAATTAGAAGCGAAAGCAGCACGCCAAGGTCAATTGTCGGGGGACTGTTGCGAGCCTCAAAGTGTACTGTGATGCAGACCGAACATGTGTGTTATTCTCATGATGGGTTGTTCGAGACATACTGTACTCATTCTAGTAGCCCTCCACTCCTCGGTACGCTGCTGGCTCCGATGGCACAATGCACGAAGAACATACTCATGTTTGTCAACACGCAAGCATTGAATGAAAGATACAAAAGTGGTATTGAAACAACAGGATGAGAGTTATCTTAGTACAACGTAACAGATACTAGTACACGTAGTGACAATGCCGGGATGGGAGAAAATACAAGATCGACAACTTGAAAACTCTACAGTAAATGATATCGTGTCAGGGAATGCGAAACAACAGTACGATCAACATGAAAAGTAATCCTACAATTGACAGGTGCTACAGTGACCGGGAGGAAACAGTATCGAAAATCAACAACTCGAAAACCTATACCAGACGAAAGCAGTACAACATAGAACTACACACCAATATGAACGAAAACCATCCGCTGCTCAAGCGGAACTTTCGTCTTCACAGCGTCTGTAGCACGGTTGAGTGCCCACGCCGCCTTCGTACAATCCATCACATCACCATCCTTTAAATCCTTAACCATGTTCTTGTAGAAAGCTTCAACCACATGTTTCGCGACAGCGTCGTCGACCACCCACAGCGTGCCAATGACGCTCTTGAACCCCGAAAATTGGAGTCCAGCTGCGAGGTGGATGACTTCGTCGGGTGTCTCCTCATCCCCAACAGCGGTATGACACGCCGACAAGAATGCGAACTCAGCGTGAGGAATGTCTTTCTCCATGATGTCCAGCAGCGTGAGAGGTTTGTCTCTCATGGCAAAACGTGAATAGTAAGGCTGCTCGCGGTCCTGCTTCCCATGACAAGCGAGGTGCACCCAAGTGTTGCATTGCAAAGCATCTAGTGCACCTGCTCGCGTAGCGTCATCGCCAGAGAGCGTGGCGGTGCTGACCGTTGCAGGGATGAGCTTGCGGACGAGTTCAAGCTCGCTGTCGACAGTCAAGAGCGCCTCGCCTTGCCCCCCACCTGGTGAACTCTGTCCGATTGCAACGAATGACGGAGTCGCACGTTTCTTCATCATCTGCCTAGATCTGATCAGAGCCGAAAGTGTCGGCGTGTAAGAACAGATGTAGACGTCCTCAAGGCATAGTTCACGCCGTCCGTCTGCCTTCGTTCGAAAGGGGTGAGCTGCGTGGAGAGGAATTGAAGTGAAGGTTGCAGTTGGACATAGCCAGATTCGAGAGCCGCTCTTTACTCTGAGATCACGCTGCAGGACGATGACGATGGGCAGCATGATCTCGTCCCATACTGTCCGCAAAAGGACTTGCAATTCCTTCCTCGTCTCCTCTGGGCGCATAAAAGACGCAAGTCGTATCTCCCTGGCAAAGTCACTCTTGAGCTTCTCCAAATGTGTGAGAGTGACGCGCGAGAATCCAACATGGTGTGGCTCTCCTGACGTCGGGATAACGATGGCGCTGCACGAATATTGACTCCCAACGAGGATGATGACCGGGCCATGACGCGCCGCCGCTTGCAAGTCTTCATACGACGGCGGGAGCAGGAACCGCGAGAAACCTTTAAGATTACGGATCTCAGCTACCACTGCTCCCCACTGCTGCTGAAGTCTCCTGTAATGTATCGCTGCTCGATCAGCAGCAGCTCGATCAGCGCTGCCGGCGGAACCCTGAGCATGAGACAGGCGCTGGTTGATTTCCGAGAGCTTGCGAGCTAGTTCTGGACTTGCAAGCTTCAGGTCTTCCAGCGGAGTCTTGAGTCGAGAGGCCAGCGACCACTGCTGGCCGCGACCCTGCTCCACGAGCTCGACTGCGTCTCGTAGATTGTCAAGGTGCATGGCACATGATGCCGCATCCACAGGCAATGTTCTGGCACGACAAAAAGCAGAAGTAGCTTCGCGCCGTGCGACAATTGAAGACCGTGTTGCCAAATGTCTGTCAAGAAGCTCGAAAAACGTTTTGTAGGCTTCCAGTGCTGAGGCATGACTGTGACTCTCCGCTGCAAAAGTCCAATTGATCGCTTCGTTGATGCGTTCTGGAAATCCTTGAGTGGGATGTCGTGATGCCAGTCTGAAGTTCTCCACAGCAAGCGACAAATCAGCAGACTTGCGTTGCACTCTATAACGAGACAAATAGGCTTCCTGCAACCGCATATAGCTGAAATATCTATGCGGGTGCAGTGAAGGCAAAGCCTCCAACGACTCTTGGCAGAGCCGAATGGCCTCCTCGATATCTTCATTCTTCCGAGCTTGCATGAAACGAGAACAGAGCGCTGAGCTCAGATTGAAAAGACCTGTATGGCGACGTGGATGGCCATGCGGCCTTAACTGAAGTGAATCCCGGTAGAGGTTGATGGCCTCGTCGAGATCCTCGCTGGCATCCAATTTGACATATCTGGTTTTGAGCGCGAGGGCAAGGTTGTTAAGCGTGCAATCACGATATGGATTCCCAGGCGGGCGCAACGTCAGTGCCTCATGCCGGAGGCTGATGGATCTGATGACGTCGTTAACATCACCACGTTGGTTGAAACGGGTGTAGAGGGCAGATCCTAGGTTGTCTAATGAGACATCACGAGATTTGTGCCCAACAGGGTGCAGGCGCAGCGCTTCCTCATACAAAGATACAGCCTCATTGAGGTCATCTAAGTTGCCTTGGTGTTTGAAACGGTGATGGAGTGAGTAGGCCAAGTTAATCAGGTAGGTGTTGCGTTCAGAATGTCCCTCGGGACACAGGGAAACGGCTTCACGCGTATGTTGTATGCTCTCTGCTAGATCATCAATGATGCCGCGCTGATCAAAGCGTCCTTCAACTGCCTGCGCAAGCCTGTTGAGTGCTTTAGGACGGTGTGCGCTGCCCAGAGGACAAAGCTCGAGTACGACTCGTCAAAGGTGGATGCCTTCATCAGATGCATCTATTGGAAGTTTGTTGCATTCGCGGATCACATAATCGGCGCCATTTCCCCCTGCCGCGATGCTACACAGGTAGGTGCCCCCTGGACAGAGCGGCAATAGCTTGCAGGACAGTTGCGCGCATTCCCGGATATAGGCGGCGGTGCGCTCCTTGCTGTAGCGCCAGATCAACGCTTTAAGGAGGTGATGGATGGATGATGGATGATCGGGATGGCCCTGCGGACGCAACGCAAGGGCTTCGCGCAAGAGAGAAACGATACAGTCGATGTTTTGAAAATCGTTTCGAGCGTAGCCTTCAAGGCGGGCCCACGCGAGGTTGGTGAGAGCCGCTGCCCGATGAGGATGGCCGACCGGACATTGGTCCAGGACCAACTGAAAATGCTTTACAGCATCATTCAGGTGAGAGGCCGTCTTGCTTGTCACGTATGTGGCAAATTGTTCATGGCCTACATCCGTGTCTCGAGCAATGTCACATTCAATAATGGACTACAGCAGGTGTTCCGTCAACAAAAGCCAACAACAGAGGCTGATGTCACTCACGTCAAACAGGGCGTTGTCCTGATTGTCGCAATTATGTAGAACAGTGGCCTTTAGTGTGAGGGAAGGATGAACACCACGAACGGACGGGAAGGAGATATCTACAAGATGTGAGCATATGCGCATGAGTGAGAAGGAGGTTACTCACCGAAAGGCTCATTTCCATGATTGAGTAGTGCATCCAATGACATTTCAAGTTTTCCAACAACTTCCCCATTGCCCAGCATCTGATCGAGCTCGAAGGAGGCCCTGATCTCCACCGATAACGTAGACGACGCATCTAACGATCTAGAAACAAAAGGTCAGTCCTCGAGTTGTATTTGAAAGTTTCAATGAACATGTACAAGGTCACAGTATCGCGCCACGCTATAGATTCGTCGGATGATAAAATACCGATGGCTGATTTCCAGCGTCTGCTGGAGCCGAGATTGACGGACACATAGATACCTGCAGGAATGTGCAAGGAGGGAACCCCAAGATTTGTTCCGCTGATAACTGTAGATATAATGTGAGGATGACCAAACGGATGCGAAGGTGATATGGAATGACTCACCTTCAAGTCTGATGTATCGGCCTTCTGAGCCACCGGGCATGATAGTGCGATGGAGCAAACCAGAAGGATTGAGGATGGGCTGGATGTGGACAGAATGGGTGGTAGAATAAGACGGGGGTGGGGATATGGGGGCTGTGGATGAAGTGAGAGTGAGAGGGTGAGGGTGAGGAAGGTAATGCTACACGTGTATTTCCATGTTGTTGAGGGTAGTCTAGGGCGCTTGTGTGGTTGCACTAAGCGCTGAGGCAGCTAAACTAGCACTAGCGGGAGAACAATGTCAAGGTCAGTCACAAGTGAAAGCGACACGCTGATATCAGTTGGGGGACATGTTGCGAGTCTCAAACTGAACATGTCACTCTCATCATAGATTGTTCGAGACGTACTACTCATTCTAGTAGCACAAGACCAAGGCAAAATATAGAATCCAATGTATTTCATAGTGCGCTAAAAATGATGTGCACATAAAGGCCGAACCATGTTATACGAGTCTGATGCGATGGGAAGGATGATCGTAATGGAAAGCAACAGTCTCATGCGAGACTAGGGGTAAGATGCAACAAGAGGGAAACACTCGGCGTCGTGCTGAGCAGGTCGAGATACACCAGCCTAGTGAATGAAAAAGGCAAAAGGTGAAGGCGATACCAGGGCTCGAACCTGGGTTTCGGGAAATCAGCAATTGTCAGAATCCCGAGTGATAACCACTACACTATATCGCCTTGGATGAGTGTCGTAACTCCACGTGATAAGTACCTATTGGCATCAATCGCATATACCACTCAAAATTTGAAATTTGAAATTTCAACGACTCGATTGATGACTTCAACTGGGTGATGTCTATGTCCGCAGGAGCCGTGCCTCGTCAGGAACCCGAAGCCAAAGGGGCAGTGGAGCATCTCAGTTAGCTATTGCCCGTGCGCCCATGCCTCACCGACAAAGATTGCCCTGCGGGGATGGTCTCCAGGAATAGTTCTTTGATCCGGGGGCCAGCGGGGCAAGTTATGACTTTATTCGAATTTCGCGTGAGATTTCTTCGCACTCATCAGCTGCCATGCATTATCCAGCGCTAGCTCGCTCTTTGTTATCGAATTACCCACAGGCACCGCGGCTGCTGGTGTGACAGTCCACATGACTTGCGCGATTTCATTATAAACGTTTGGAGTCTTCGAGTCCCATACTACTTCTTGTTCTCTTGCTCCTGCAAGCGCTCGCGCACCATCTTTAATATCGTGAAGTATCGCGAAGTAGCTCGCTACTTACTCCGCTCACGTGCGTGAGTCACCTCCGTCTACCTCGGCCCACTATGTTGGACGAAGAAAAACGCCCATCTTCCGATGAGAGGGAAACTAAATCTACAAGCGACGCTGGCGGCAATAGACCCATCGCTACATCTGATGAAGAGAAGAGGCTCGTGCGTAAGCTTGACCGTAGGATTTTACCCATAACATGCTTGCTTTATCTTTTTGCTTGTGCGTGAAATTTTATCACGATAGCCAGCTGACATGTTTTACTGATTGTGAATCAGATCTTGATCGCACGAACCTTGGGAATGCACGCCTTCAGGGACTCGCAGAGGAGAACCTTGGTGGCGACCCTACTGGTATACTGTTCGATTGGGTCAACTCGGCATTTTTCTTTTCATATGTCAGTAATGCAACTATAGTTCATCGCCCCAGTTTTGATTTGTTGGCTCCCAGATTATCTGCCAAGTTCCTGCAACGATAATCTCAAAGTTGTTTCCACCATCCTATTGGATAGCGGGCGCGGCTATTGGGTGGGGTATATGTTCCACGTTAATGGTGAGTCATACTGCCGCTCCTCTTTATATGTACATTTCGTTTTCCCTTCAAGTTATTCTTTGGTTACTTGGAATGTCTTGTTCATGAACAATTCCTCTTGTGACGTGTTTATCAACCCTAGTAAGTTACCAGTGCGTCAGAGCAGCCAGTTTCTGCCGTGAAATCCAGGTCAAGCCTTGACGTGTGTTTGACCTGTCTTATCTACTGATCGAATAGATCTTGCGGACTATACTGCTTGAATACCTACGCCCCGTTGACCTTCAACCATTTTACAGCCTCTTTATCTTTATTAGCCATATTCGAACTCGAACCGTTGCTCATGATGCATACTATTTTTCTGCAGGCAACGACATTCAACTTTGGAAGTCTCATGGCCGCCCGCGTTGGGCTTGGCGTATTTGAAGCTGGCTTTGGCCCTGCAATTCCACTTTATTTTTGTAAGTCATGCATCATGCAATAGACCCGTGGAGAAACAGGACTGTTAACACGACTATCCAAGCCTTCTTCTACACTCGCTCTGAAATGGGCTTGCGCATGGCATACTGGTTTGGTTTTGCGGCGGTCGCAGGTGCGTTCGGCGGGCTCATCGCGTTCGGCGTGCAGCAAGTCGGGTACGGACCGCATCTCGCTGGTGTAGGGGGAGAGTGGGACTGGAAAGTCCTGTTTCTTATTGAGGTTAGTGCCGGTGTTCTATGTTTGTTCAAGGAACAAGTGGTATTCAAGATGTTGATCCGCTCGCATTTATCCGGTCGAGTGCTGCGGTTCCTGGATCTTGTTGTATCCCATTTCTGGCCGATGTTTCGAGTCTCCCTGGCCTTTGAGAGGTGCAGAGGGATCGATATTCTAAACCCATTTACACTGCGCAATGTTCGCTGTGCTAGCCTTTCTTGCATTACACCTAAGAGGCAGGCATGGGAGTGGTACTATCTAGTGCTTTCCCGGAATACTATAAAACACCTATCAGGATTAATTTTCAGCCTCAGGCGCGATTTAGACGTGCTCCGTCCCTTGTAAACTTATTGGCTAACAATTCGGTTGTTCTCAGGGAATTCCGGCTCTTCTTCTCGGTGTTCTGACTTTCTTCGCTCTCCCCGACAGACCGGAGAGCACGAGATACTTGAATGCGAGAGAAAGAGAAATTGAACTGGAACGCATGAACAGGGGCACGAGTGCGGATGTTGGCGCTGTGATTAACAAAGGCGAGCTATTTCCCTATCCTCGTGCTACGCAGCGAGGGCTCATCGACTCGTCCTACTCTAGAACACATCATGATAGCTCTCCTTGATTGGCGCATATACACTGGAGGAATGATTTACTTTGGTGTGAATTGCGCTCTGGCAAGCATTTCGGCATTTTTGCCAACGATCATCGAGACTTTTGGGTACAGTGTGTACTACCTTGGCTGAATGAAAGTTTTCCTTGTTGATATTTTCGTTCCAGCCAACGCGCTCGCTCAGTTACTCACAGTACCACCATATGCAGTGGCTGCCATCGTCCTTTGTTTGACGTCTTACACGTCCGACCGCATACAAAACCGTGGCTTGGCGGTTGCAGGTTCCTGTGCTGTCGGTGCTATTGGTACGTGGCACCTAGTTTGGTTTATGTTCAGAGTATCCCTCATGTGTCATTTCAGGCTACCTTCTTTGCTCACAGTCCCCAACAATGTTCACGTGCGATACTTCGCCGTATTCTGCATCACGAGCGGGACATACACCGCTATTGGCTTAATCATCGCATGGTGTACGTTCTTTATCACTCACGACGCGTCTTCCCACGACAGCTCACGTTTTCAACAGTTGCACACAATCTCGGCTCTGAGACCAAGAAGGCGACGGGTATCCCGATGTTCATGGCGATTGGGCAATGCGGGAGTATTCTCGGCTCGCACATATACCCTTCGACGGATGGCCCGAGGTACATGTGCGTCTTACCCTTCTCCCCTCCCCCTGTGTCCGCATGTGTTGATTGATTGCTGTCGGTGCAGCCTCGGCTTCGCTGTATCATGCGGCCTCGAGGCGTTTGCCACTGTTTGCGCGCTAGTGCTGTGGGTGTCATACAAGTACGATAATGCGAGACGCGATCGTGAGTATGGGCGTCCGGACCCAGGTGCCAACGTGGATACAAGCGAATTGGCGGATAAGGTGAATACTGTTTGCCTCAGAATGAAGCTACCCTGATACCTTCCATAGGCGCCTATGTTCAGGTACATGGCTTAGCGAGGAGGGACGTAGGAATTTGAAAAAGATTGAGATGATAGCAAATGTGTATTTATACAATGTGTTAATTATTCTTCCCTATGACAACATAGTTGAATCATGCATGCTAGGTCGCCCCTCGGAGTTGGCTGCGAGATTACATTAGCGCAAGCCTATGAAAAACATTAGGCAGACTACTACTTGACTGTAGCTTGGCTTATACTGAAAATGAAATAAAGTATAGGCTTTTGGCACGAGCGTAACACCATAGGTGTGCGTACGTGCATGTTAGCATCCGCGGAAAAGCATGCAAGCCTTGACGGTGCGAGAGGTAAACACTTTGAAAAACCACTGATTCAGATTCTAATTTTTGGCTTTATGTGTCATTAAACGCTTGGTATATTTCGTCTGTGGAATCTTGTCAGTTTGTGGGTGAGAATGGGTGATTGCTGAATTACTGTAGCAGTCGAACTGTGTTACTACAAACTTGTGCTCAAGGAATGGGAAGAGGTCTCGGGTTAGGGTTAAGGGCGTGCGGACGAGGTCGCCATCCGTCCATGCATTCTTGTCTCAAGAGTTGGCGAGATTTACGAAGTAGTGATTCTCCATTACTTACTGCCTTAGCCAATTCAGGCATATTCAGTATGCGCTACCTGAATTTCAGTATGAATGACTCGGGGTCAACGAACAGCTCGAGATACATTTGCACGATTGAGATGAGTGATAAGTCGACATTTGATGAGAAAATTAGATGAGAGTGGGGGTGTTCTTACGTAGCGAAGAACGACTTTAGCATCTGGTAGATCTGGAATATAGATAGAATATATGGGCGGGAATAGAAACAGTGCTTACGCACGTAGTATAGTTTCACTGATAGGAACTGAACAATTCGATAGAAAGAGTTCCAGACGGCACGAAACCACCTGTCTTCAAAAAGCGTTTTTAAGAAGAGCATACAATGCTGCGTCCTCAATACCAACGATATCGTGAAAAGAACTTCATGCGGAGGCCATGATGCTGAGGGTACAAAGGGGAAAAAGGAGTACAAAATATACATGTCGGATGAATCGACTCAATGGGAACATGACCTGGGCCAGCCAGAAATTTTGTCACTATGCATTTAAAAGGGCCCGGACGGGCAGTCCAAGCTCTCGACAAATACCCTCCATGCGTTCTCGTTCCCTGTCAGTAACATTGTCACCGAATGCAGCATCCGTTTCTTCCAAGGTCTGTACACCATCGTCAGCCACGTTCGACAGGACATGCGTACGCAAAAAACATACCCGACCCTTGGTCTCTGGGAAGAAGAATACTATAAAGCGAGTTAAGCGTACTATTTGACGTGATTTTGGGATTTGACATACGAACTGAGAGTA